CCCTTCCAACCCAAAACATCCTGTGATTCAATGAAGTCAAAGTCAAACTTTAGGATGCTGTAACTGGCAGTGACCGCACTGGCACCTCCGCCCCGACCGCAGAGCGTGCCTACACAACAGCTCAGGTGTCAATGCCTCTGTGACATCCACCTGTGTTCAGTAACAAATCCCACCCTTCACTTCCAGTTGCAGCCACACTGAACATTGGGGAAAGGCTCAAAGGATAAAACAAACAGGACAGGAAAAAATACACACCATTGACTAAGAAGTGGAAGTCAAATAACTGAACGTACTCAAACTGGGGATGTCGGGTGCAGAAGAAGCCAAAACATAACTTAAGAAAGAAGGCGCACGTGAAACCCTGGGTCTGCTGCAGCAAATTCTAACAAAACTCGGTGATGTGCTGCTCACGGTGCTAACATTTCAAAAAGAAGGTGAAAAAATTATTTTGGCAACAAAATGCTCGCATTTTACACGTGGCAAATACTGTGGTAGGCATTCATCAGAGGAGACCAACCCATTCGCTTCTTTATCGTGGGAAAGTGACTGATCTGTCACACAAAGGAGGAGAGGACAATCTCATTCACCTGGAATTCAGCAAGGCATCTGATATGGAGAACCACCAGCTGAGACGTGAGGATTACCAGAAGCCTTATACGCACAAACATCTGATGTGAGGGGAAAAGCAGCTGGCTGAGAACCAAGCAAGAACTTGAGGTCGTAGAGCAACTCCTAATGCATTTTCTTGAGGATCATTCTTGAGCCCTGTGTCATTTAATATTTTTATTAATAACTTAGTGACAAATTTTAGAGATTCACGGATGAAATCTGCTGAAATCTTCCCACGTCAGGCCAGATAAAGTAGCATTTGAAATTATGGAAAAAACAACATATATAGAACGTAGTACCAGAAAGGAGGTAAATCCAGCAGTGAAACGCAGATGTGCACTTGAAGCATTGTCCCACGAGCTGGGAACTTGCAGTTGACAATAACGGATGAGAAGAACAGGGTACACAACCAGGGCAGGTTGATCATCACCTGCTACAAGGACACAGCTATGAAAAGCAGCTTCCAGAGACACTTCGTGTGAACCTGCTGGTGCCAGAGCTGTGGCACCAGGTCCCCATGAGCTCTTCCCCAGAGGGCTGGGTGGCACTCTGGTCACCTCATGAAGTTTCTGGGTGGCACTCTGGTCACCTCATGAAGTTTAACTCAAACCAAGACTAGATGAGAAGAGCACAGAGCCCTTCTTGCCAGAGCAGCCAAAAGGCAAGCTCCCCTGAAGGACACAACTGCTCTCTAACTACTGCCAGAAGGAGAACTAAGTTAAGCCAAAAGACAACAATAAGACAAGGAGACACGGATACCAAGTTGCCAAAGAATAAATTTGGGCTAGAAACTACAACATAGTTTCTAAAAACTCAGCAAAAAACCTTGGAGCAGCCTGCAGATGAGAAGCAAACTCCCCAGCTGATCTAACACAGAACCCCAGAGTTAATTAAAGCCACACAGTACGCTGCAGTGCCTGTAATAATGGACCCAGGGCTCAGTGGCCCAGAAGGTCCCTCCAGTCCTGTTTTCAGATGGCTCCAGATCAGATCTACCTGTTCACAACACTTCCCAGCCCACCCCTGTTCCTACTAACAGCAATCAACTTCCCACTTTCTTGCAAATCTACTGTTTCCTGATGTAGAACTTGATCTCTTTCCCCTGATTTCCACGATGATGCCTTAGCAAGGCAGAATGCCACCACGCAGCTCCAGGGCAGCATAACCTGCCCAAAGGGCTCCTGCAGACCCTCCGTATTCTGCCCCAACCACTTGCACAAATTCTCCACGGCTTCCACAGCGCTGCTCCTGGTTAAGTGAGTTTGCTCTGGGAATCAAGGCCAGCTCCCAGTCCTAACCAGTGACCGTTTCCTGGACGAACCAGCCCCGTTGAGGCACACAAACACTTGTACCGTAGAGGAAACAAGGCAGGACACACAGAGCTGAAGGTGAGACCGCAGCAACCGTGACGCTTGGTGTGATTTAAGCTGATGTACAACTGCATCCTCATTCTTCCATGAGCAGCCCTAACCTCTCAAAATCGCTGGTACTGTTTCTTTGCCCTCAGGAGAAGCCACTGTAATGTGTAATTAACGTTTATCACCTTCTTTCAGGTGCTTGTGAAGGGTGTTAGATGATCAGATGCCCAACAATCCCTGAGGCATCAGTATGAAGTACAGGACTAGCTGTTATCACTTCTCTGGACTCTGGTTAATCGTCATTTAATCCCAGCAAACACTCTAACAAAGAGTTCAGGATGGGCAGGTCTCAGTACCACGTCATATCTGGTGCTCTGCCTGAGTTTCGCTCAATTCTGACTTTGCTCTTTATACTTTTCCAGGCTGCCAGGCAGCCCAGCTCTTAGCAAACACACCACGGACATCTCATGGTGGCCAGAAACTGTGTGTGAGCTACAGGACCATCTCCATCCGAGCCTACCACCATGCCTGGACCCTGGGTCCTCCTCCCATTCTGGTTTTGCTCTATCTCATGATGACAGCGTACTTCCACACTGAAACATGGGGATTTCTTCTAATTGGGGGTTCCCTAGAGGGGTAAGCTCTAGTCCCAGGAACTAGATGTGCTGCTCCTGCACCTGCCACGGCAGCCAAGCCCCCTCCTACAGCTCCTCTTCCTACAGCACAGCACAGGTCCCTGCTCCTGGCGCTGCTGGCTCCAGCACGGCTCTGCACAGCCTCAGCCTGCAGGCAGCTGGCCAGCCATGGAGGAAGCAGAGACAGTCACTCCAAGGTCCTCGTGCTCTTCACACTGCTGCTAATCCCCTCCCCGAGCACGGGTGCTTTGCGAGATGCAATGAAGCCCTGCAGCATTAGGCTGTCGTCCCTAAGCTTCACTTTAGCAACTTTCTTCCTTGAACAGTTCTTAAGTGCTTGTCCTTTTACATTAGAAATTCTTGCTTTTCTTGCCAGAGCCATAATTATCCAAAGGATTAACTTTAGAAAGACCCCAAACAGTACATCAGCTATTCGCTGACTCGGGGCAGACAGGTAGCGGAGGAAGCAAGACAGGAGAGCAGATCAGCACAAGGCACTTGTCAACTACTTACAGAGGGTGCAGATAGTTTTTATCCTCTCCACAACTGGCATTCCTATAGCAGTACTTCCCCCAGAGCCCCGGAGGCAGCTATCACCCCTGGGGTTCTTCCCACTACACAGCATTGCGGGGAAAACTGTTGGTCTTCTTGTTTTCCACCGCTTTCACTCAAGAGCAATTTTGCAGCCTGACGATTTGCATCGCGGCATGAACTATCTTGCTGCGGGTGTGTTGCTTCGAAACAGTGGAGCATTAGCCACACCAAGACAAAAAAGCCACCTATGCCTGAGATTGCGGCAGCGTGCGTCATCCCTGCACAGGCCACGCTTCTGCCGAGGGCTGGATGTGCCAGCTGCTGGCAGCAGATTCTTCTATTTCTCGTGCAGAGTCTTTCACCGTCGTTCCTAACTGGATGAAGTCACTATAATCAGACTACAGCAAGCGGGAAGGACTGGGGGGACAAGGAGAGGAGGGGAGACAAGGAGACAGCACGGATGAGTGGAAACCTACAGGCAGAGACGGAAATCAGACCGACAGGCAGCAAATACAGCAACTTGAATCCTGCTCAAAAAGAGCCCCATGGGCACGTGCATGACACTAGGTGTGATGCAATGAACCCTACACAGAAAGGGCTCTGAAACACACACCTGCCTCCTGAGACAAAGATAAAATCTGGGTTAAGACGCGGAGCACCTGGGGTCCCTACAACGCCGCCCCCGCCCCAGCTCCTACCTGGTAGATACCTGTCGTGGTCGTACTCGTGTGACCGCTGCATGTGGCTGTTCTGAGTGAAAGGCTGGTTCCCAAAGAGGTTGTCACTGCGAAGATTGTGGCAGAGCTTCTCCAGGAAGCGGAGGACGTAGGTGATACTGTTTACTGCTGGCAGGTTCAGAGTGTGCTGTTCCCGATCAAACACAGCTGGAGACAGAAACAAACAGAGCCCAACACGTAAACCCCCAGCAAAGGCAGGAGACTACGCCCAGGGCTGCACAGCCAGCTTCTGTATCTCAGCATCGCTGGTCTAGACTAGAGCAAACAAAAGCCACTGCCTTCCGCTGGCTGAGCGCTGGGAGCTCGCTTCCCCGGGACAGGCTAAAACCAGTCTGGCTGCACCCAGCGCCAGGTACGGGGCTGCTGCGTTCGAGGGAATGGAAAGGCACTCAAGGAGGAGCCTGAACTCCCAAGCATCCGGGTAAACATGGGCTTAAAAGCAAAATTAAAAACCGGGGGTATCTCTTGTCTTTCCATCAGGAGTTCTGAAAATCCCCAACCCCCTTCTGCCTCCTCCTGGGGGCTGGGGCAGTGCTGGGGATGACGGGTGACCGCTGCCCAGGCTGACACCTTCTCTGAAGGCTGTGCCCCGAGGCCACGCTAACTGCTCTGCTCTGAGTCAGCCGCTAGCTGCTGCTTCCCTGATACAGATGTTTGGCAAGAAAGAGAAGACAGAAATCTTCTGTCTGCCCCTGGCCCCGTGACTCGCACCAAGCTTCAGGAGAGACATCTTCCAAGGAGCGAATTCTTGCAATGACATCTCTGAAGGCAAAGTGCTGCAGGCCAGTTCTCACCTGAGATGACCTCTCCCCCGTGGCCTTGTTTTAAGAAGGAGAAGACTGTTTTCTGATGATAAGCGCAATCAATGCAGGCCTGTACTGCTTGCTGCAGGACAACAGAAGCTCGAGCTGGTCCAAAATGGTCCGGCAGCTGCTGAACTTTCTTCTTGTCTAGGTGGGGCCCAGTGCTGCCGTTCTTGTTCAAGTAAATGCAAACTGCCAGGATGAGAAATGTGTTTGCCATTAACCCACTCAAGAAAGCAAGAAACAGATGCCTAAAATCCAATCTGAGAGATGCTGAGGCTTTAAGACTGTCAAACCACTCACAAAGGGGAATCCACCACGACTGCCTGTCTGCATCCTAACAGCGGAGCCACTTACAGGGGAGAATCACCTCCAAAACCTTCCTGCCTCACCCTCACCTTCCAAGCTGCTGCTGTTTCTCCTACACTTTCCCCAGCACTCAGGCTCCCAGAGGCAGGCTGCAAAGTGGATCACCTGCCAGCCAGCTCAGGCGGCTGCGATGTTCAAAGGGGATGAAGGAACACAGCCCCCAACTTTTTAGCGTAACTGGGTCCTTGAAGTTCCTGTGAAAATTGGCCAAATACATGCTGAGGAACCAGAGGGCTCAGCCCATATCCAGCACTTGACCGACCATATAAAAAGCAGCTTTGCATTCGACTTTCCTGCTCAGATTCATCTTCAGCTCCATCTCCCAGCTGCAGCAGAGCACGTACTCCGCACTGCTGCTCCTACTCCTCCCCTGCTGCCTCTTCTCCCTGGTTGCCTCGATATCCTGGCTGAAGCTGAGCAGATCATTGCTGCTGTTGTTCAGCAGTTCTGCATCTTGCTGTAGCTTCAGCAAGTGCCTGGCACGGCTTGGGAGAGCTCGTGCTCTGGACTCACAAGAGATGCTGCCGCACACCGTGCTGCCTCTGGGCACGATGGGCCACGAGAATCACCCCTGGAGAGCTGCGGAGGCACCAGCATGCACCTGGCAACCCAGGGAAAGGGGTCCCTGCACTGACCGGGTGGTTTTGCAATCTTCCTACAACTTCATTATTTCCAAAACAGACACAGAGATAAACAAACGGCTGATCTGGACTCATGTGCCTCTCCTTCCCTCCCGACACGCTCTCTACCAGGCCAGCCTTTCTGGAATTGTAACGTTTGCTGGCGTATGGGTTTAGGAGGTAATGGGAGTATCTGGGCGTGTTGCTTTCTGACTGATGCAGCTCCTAACTGGGCAGTCTTGTCAAGAATGCAGTTTGAGACCCTTACCTGTGGGAGCCTGCATGGCAGAGCTGGGGATTGTAGCAGCGTCCTGGGGCACAGTGCTTGTGTCTGGTTCTGGGGTACTGGTTGTTGGAGAGGTGGGTGCTGGGTTCAGCAATGTCCTAGGTTTCCTCTGCAGAAAAAGAGGAGATATTTCTCCTTTTATCCCTGCTCTTCTTTACCACCCATGATCACTACACTCTCTCCTCTGCATCCAACAGACAAGGCACTGTGGAACATGACACACTTCTGATGGTGATGACAGGGAGTCTCAAGAACCTAGTAATCAATACGTCTGTATTTTATAAACCACAATCCTCAAAAAATAACAAGCCTGAGATCTGCCACCTCTGCTTGACTTAGACTAGCTACACACGATGGACGGAAGAGCTTATTCCACCGTTTGGCCATCCTGTAACCATCACAGCATCCACCATGCTACTTCACAGCTAATGCAGCTCCAAAGGCACAGTTTCTCGATGGAAATGATCTTTAGGACACAGACATTCTCTACAGCTCTGGGGCTGGACTCTGAGGGATATCCCCAGCCCACGTACCCCTTTGGTCTCCTACTTGCTGCAGTCACACAGCCAGAGGCTGAGACAAACGTGCACAAACACACGCATGCACCATCCCATGGCAGAACTTGCAGCGCCTGCTTTTCACCCGCCTGCATCAGCATCAGCTTTTACCTTACTGCCAGGCTTGGGGCCTCTCTTTCTGGGGAATTTCAAAGGCTCCACTGACTTGGAGGGTGTAGGCATGGGGTGATGGATTAGCGCTTTGGTCGTTCGACCACGCTTCTTCCCTGTTTTGCGACGCCTTTGCCCTTGTTGATGCCCCAAAACAGTCTTTGTGCTACTGTGCATGCTAGGTTTCTCCGAGTTTACTTCGGAGGCAGGTAAAGGGCTCTTTGGAATCACAACTGAAATAAAAAGAGAAAAAGCAAATATAATTAAATCAGGCGAGAATCAAAGCAAGAGCAGCCTCTATCTTTAAACAGTGTCACATGGAAAAAACCAGGAGTATTCACTGTCCCCTGAATAGAGGCTTCTGCTCTCCATGCCAGAATAAAAACCAAATGCACGGATCCTCGGTTCAGC